GCATCCTCTGTTTTCAGTTTTGATTTGCTGGTGAAACTTCACAAAGAACAAGCTCTGCGTGCTAGACGAGTGAGGGGACAGAGAGGACAGGACAGACTTTGGTCTGACGTCTGTTTGTTGCTGGTTCTGTTTCATTTTGGCGCTCACATCGCCCCTTCCCATATAGATGCTGCCCAGTACTGCATCATTTGTCTTGATAGTTGTTGGTTGCATCTGGGTTTGAGTTACTGGGTGTCCTGTTTTCCAGGTTTTCGGTTCATATGGTCAGTTCCTGGAACAACTTCCAGAAATAAAAAAATGTTTGTTCTGTGTCGTTCAGGTGTTGATTTCCCACAAGTCTTCCTAAGGTCAGTGCTTTTATTTTATATTCTGTGATTTCATAGAAACAACATCCATCCATTATCTTTATACACATTTTCCCTTTTCAGGTCACTGGTGTCCATATCCAGCAGTCACTGTGTGAAAGACGGGGGACACCTTGGACAGGTCTCCAGTCCATCACAGGGACACATAGAGACAAACAACCATTCACATTCACTCTCACTCACAACTAGGGACAATTTTAGAGTTACCAATCAGTCTAACATGCATGTTCTTGGTCTGTGGGAGGAAACCGGAGTACCCGGAGAAAACCCACGCATGCACGGAAAGAACATGCAAACTCCACCCAGAAAACTCCCTGGCTGAGATCCAGTCCGGCGACCTTCTCACTGAGAGGTGGCAGCTCTACCAACTGAGCCACTGTGCCACCCGTGTTCATGCTAAATGGCTTAAATTGATAATGAACAGAATAAATCGGTCCCATTTCCTTCCTTACCCCATACACAAGCTCGCCCACCATGCCGTTCCATATCTTTGTCTCAGGGTCTCTGGCTCCGTATTTGCCATCATGCACGATGGAGATCTTGTATTTGATACCGATGTGCTTGGCGATCTCTGAAGCCAGGTCCACACAGTATCCCTCATACTTGTCATTGCCTTCATACAGCTCCCAGTTCTTCTTCAGCATCACATACGGGCCCTCCTGGAAAACCAGCATAGGGCGAGAAAGACATCTGTTTGGAGGAACATGCTAGCAGAGATCAATAGACACCAGCAGCTTTCAAGTTCAAGGTCATCAATAAACATGTACAAAAGATGTGGACATTTAGACGCAAGGATCAACATATAACTACCAAATCCCAACAGAGACAAATGTTCAACT